ATGACTTCACGGCCATATATTTGCGTAGCGTTGTATTGAAAATTCTGAAAGTTGAATGATTTAACGACAAAATCTTTGATTGAACAATACCTTATGAACATATCAACACTTGAGATGAAATTTGCCGGTAATAACGTTGGCCCAAATGTCCCAAAGCCTCATGAAGTCAGCAAGTTACGTTTTCATTTTCCGGTCGAAGTCGTCGTCGCTTTTGGGAATTGCATTTTTCGTTACTCTAGAGCTAATTTCGTTTCTTTAAAGGCTCAAATTTCTATTAGTCTCAGAATATGTAGTTTTCATTTGAGCTTCAAAAGGTATACCTTGATCGGGATGGAACGGAAGGTGTAGCAACTTATCAAGGACTTTTGTAGGCTCGATTTCTGCTGCTCTCTCGAGTCCGGTCTTTTTCGTTCCTCCTCGAAAAGAAGTCCCTTTGGGGAGAAGCGAGGGCTCCGGTTCCCGAATTGCGGCTGGTAATCGAACCCACCATTTTGAAAACTTTGTCTGACAAGATAATTTATGCTTCCTTACAAACTCTGCAGGCGAACTTCTGATCGGCTATAAGCAACAAAAGAAACCTCACACGTCCAGCCGTCTCTTCGGGGAGGAGCGCGGGCTCCGGTTCCCGAACAACGAGGCAATCGAGCCCAGGACTTTTGCAAGAACCCACAAACTGGAAATGAAAAGTTTTCGTTAAGATCTTCTACCTGTCGGGATTTCTACGATCATCATTACATTCCCACACAGATCCAAGATCTCGGCCCATCATGGGAAAAAAATGATTATAAACACGCAGCTTTAAGAGAATTTGCCAAGCCTTTTTGGCTCTGCATTTCAAACAACAACAACAAAGATCGGGGCCGCGCTAAACAACATGCACCTTGAGCGACCTGGTATAGGACTGGCCAGTCCCAGCATTTATTTGGACACAACATTAGCATTAGTCGCGTACTATTCATCAAAGTAGAGGTTAAGAATTCTTTTAAAAAATCATTGATATCTGTCAAAATACCGAAAATGGTCGGAAATGAAACTCTTGAAGCGCGATTTTGTCTGTTCGTCTGCTCAGAGCACTTCCGGATTAGCCAATCAGGGAGCCTCAAAAGCACTTATCTCCTGTGTGGTGTTTTCTAAAAGTTGTCATGGGCGAAGTAACAGAAAAATGCCGGGATGGACGGGAATGTAATTCTTTGTAGGGAAGAGGTTATTGATATAAATGTGGAATACAACTTGCTCCGAAGCAAGCAGTAACCAAAATGAATAAGAGCAGTCTCTAAGGGTTGAGTTGTTGAAATATGCAATGTATCTACGCTTCTCGTAAGTTTAAAAATGGAGTGGACTCTTGGATTACTTAAAATTGATGACTTGATTCCCCCAAGGCTGCTAAATGTATTAGAATGGTCCAAATAAATATGGAGCTAGTTTTGAACAACAACAATTGTGACTCATCTCTGATAACGATATCCATTTAGACAAGCAATTCCAGCACTATCCTCACACAGATGATCACATTATCGAGGGGACTTATTGCGTGTGAGTGTGAGGGTTNAAGACTCTGGATTGTCGTAAAAACCAACACTCGTTATTTTACTGTACTTTTGAATGACTCCTTGTTTCCGAGATATTTATAACCACCATTTTCATTATATATCCGACTTGTTATTAAAATGTTTCGAATATCACCATGGCAACCTTCAAAATGCTTCTGCCGAGTCATCATACAGCTGCAATGACCAAACAAACGACAAAGTTGCGCATGAGCAGAGTGAGCAGTCTTGTTGTTTCAATGCAGGCCGGCAAAGAGTAAAATGACATATAAAGTATACCTCGCTTTATTGCCTGTTATCTCGTTTAAGAGTGATTACCTTATGTCTTCTGAATTCTAAAATTTCAACTGGCTTGGAACTTTCATTACTATGTGTAATATATAGATTTGGTTTCGATAAATAAATATTTTCGCATGAAACTCCGGCATAAAGAGTGTCTTTCAACATTTTCAGTGATGAAATTTGTTAAAGGAGTAAACAATGGTTCATTTTTCACAATCGTGTTTTCGCATAGAAGAGAAATTTGAATTAAGATAACCCCTGAGGGGTTGTTGTGTCAAAAAGTTGTTTTTAGATATTCTATTGATGAGCATAGCATACTTTTTATTTTCGTATAAAAAAAAACATAAACGAGGTTTTTATAATACCCTTCCTTGTTTATAGAACTTTTTACTGGCAGTTCTCTACATAATTTTTATTTCGGTTTGATTTAAAGTTGTCAGACTTTCGACATTGACCATAGAGTTGAGCTGATTTGAAGCTCAGAGGACAATTGTAAACTTTTAAGCTTTATTTTAAAATTACACCTGCTGTAAATGGAAAATAACATTTTTGTGACGTTCAACATTTCATGATATATGCCCAAAACGTTTTAATCACTTTTGAAAGGTCACAATATTGTTCAATTATCGTTAGTTACTATCACTAATGTCCTTTGGTTTCGCTTGAGTTAAGACAAAATACTTGATCGAAATTGATGAAATATTGATTAAGTCATGCTTGACCAAAGGATGACAATACTGAAAGTGCACTGAAAAAAACTGCAGAAAATGAAGGGCACAAAAAGAAGCCAAACTTCGAAGGACAGAGGTTCAACACATAAACCGTGCTTCCTAAATACCAGTTGGGGCACAGCCTCTTATGTGTGTGTGCTATAGTCAAACTTGTATCGAGAAAAATTTCGTTTAGGGCTCATTCTCTACTAAAACGATCATTTTTCAAAGATCTTAGTCCATTAATTTGTGTGAATTACACCATATTTAGCGGTCACAGTAACCGCGAGAAACGAGCGAGAGAACGTGTATAACGTGTAAAAGTGTATATCGTTTCCTCGAATGATATGTCACTCCCGAATTCTTCTAAGCACAGAATAAGCAGTCATGTTCAATTTCGTTTAATACCCAGTTAGTTCAAAATACTTGCTACATTGCAAGTTCTTCTTGCCCTAAAGTGACGCGACGTAACAAGAAAATCCTTAAGAAACCCTTGAAAATGTAGAAAATCCATGTCTTTTCAGAAAAAAAGTATGAAATTTGATTCTCAGCCTCTCTCGTCCCAAACCTTTTGTCATTTGGCTGTTCAAAACGTTGAATCCACCGATTTTTCATTTGTATAAATGATCGAAGATCGATGCTTGGTCGATTAAATGACAAAACATGAAAACGAGGGTTATGTTCTAAGTCTGTTATTAAACTGTTCACACTAGGCTGGATAAAATTGAAAACGGCACTTTCTTTTTGAACATGGATCAAAACGGAACAAGAGTATCAGTCCTCCAAAAAAACCGAAAAAATAGTGTATTTTGTTCAAATTATAGAATGAATGGTAGGTCTAGAAAGAATGTTGCATTTTCTTAATTCATTGATTGGGGACGTAGTGCGAAATTTTTAGGACTTTCAAACCTAGAGATAAAGCTATACTCGGTAGCATTACCATTTACCAATGATGTGGACCATCCGAGGGGCTAAGTGAGAATATTTCAGACACTTTTATTAAATATCATTAATTTTGGCCTCTACACACTTCAAATTTGAAGACATTTGTCTGCTATTTGCAGAAATAAAACTGCATCAGAGTACTTTGAAAAGAATTAGATACTCACCCAAACTGAGATTTTCAAGTTTTCGTTAATTTCTGTAAGCAGTCTCTTAACACTGTTCGTTAATTTTTACCATAATGAGCTTGTCTTGATTTTCTATTTCCAAGCCGGAATTTCACCAAAGAAATCCGGCCTAATTTTGTTTTGCATACTTTAAATATCTAGAAAGTAAATTAAACAACGGATATGATCTTCATTTGTAAAGTGATATATCTCCTTCACTTTATTTCGTCCAGGACTACCTTACAGTTGGCCAGACACTACCACGACTAGATACCCAACAAGATTGGATGCTTATGAACGCTACGGAGGAGAATAACATCACAACCATAAAGTTTTACCGCATGAGAAACACCACTGATCTACAAAATGATACCGCTATTCCCGTAAGATTGTTCCTTACGATATTCCATTCTAAACTTTTAATAATTTTAACCGGTCGTAAAATGACCTGAGCTTTTGTCCTTCTCATAAAAACGTTGGAAGACTGCGCTTTTGTTGTTATTTTTTCATGGGATAAGTTTCTGATATTATTTCCAATTTGTTCCACGTACCAAAAACGTTGAAGAAAAGCTCGAGGTGGTCTAGAGAAACAATACTCTTGCTATCGTGAATTAAAGTGCACAACATTATACACCGATCGAAACCCCCATGAAATCCAACGCAACCCAAGAACCTGGCATTCTTGATCTGAGATAAAATAATATTTCAGCATCACTTCTATTTGTTCATTGGTTTTTATTTATATATTCTAGAAAGGAATGTCCATTTCTATTGTATGGGCATATCATCCCATGAGCGACAACCTTCAACCTCATGGCAGGGACTATAGAGGGGTTTACAATATCACCCTCATCCCGGTTATCACTCCAACGCCGACAATAATGATGGCACCATCCTCAGCTGTAGTCCAGCCAGTGCTACATTCCGACCTAATTATGCTCGATGGCAAGGGAAACTACAATGTTTCCTACTATTACAACGCAGCCACAGACAAATTGGAGTTTATGGTGCAAGTGAGAACCACAGGTTGGGTTGGTTTCGGTGTTGCTGAAGTGGCTCCAAATATGATGAAGTACTACGATGTGGCAATAGGAGGAGTATCAGATAACGGAACGAGCTATTTTCAGGTAAGTTGAACTGGCAAATTTTACCAACGATGTAACATACACGAAAAAACATTACTCACTTCTTATTGGCAGAAAACGAGACTAACAGTGCATTTTTCATGTAACGCCAGCGCAAAGTTGTAAAACGAGGGCAGACAACAAATAGCGCGCCTGCGTTGTAAAACTTTTATCTGTCGACTTTCTGTGATGCCTTCTTCATGTCAATTAATAACAAGTAACAACATGATTTGTCGTACAATTTGGTGCGAATAAGCACTAATGTAAATTTTTCCAAGACTATAAATTGTACCCGCCATAAATTCGCCCGTTGTCTTTGAAAAATTTATTTGTGCTTATTAACACCAATTTGCACTCGAAATCATGTCATTACATATATTTACTGCATTGATTGATAACATACCTAGACTTGATTTCTTCCAGGACTATCTTACAGTTGGCCGCATGCAACCCCGACTGGATACCCAACAAGACTGGATGCTCATGAACGCCAATGAAGAGAACAACGTGACGACGTTGAAATTTTACCGCATGCGAAACACCACTGACCTACAAAATGATACCGCTATTCCGGTAAGAGTCCAATCAATTTTAATCGCCAAAGATGATAGTGTTTTTGATGGGAGTAACAGGAAGATTACGAGAACAATTCATATTAACTCATCAAACTACTCGGAGATCCTATAAACCCGCTTTTTTATCAGATCACTCTCAATCACCACTGGAAATTGTGTCATTGGGTCATAAAAGGAGGTTTAAAAAACACTTTCATATTACCTTATCAAAGTATACAAAGATCCTGGCTTTTCATGCTATTCTAGGATGGCAATGTTCCCATTTCTCAATGTACCAACGAAATGGTGCAAACACTAAAAAGCGATAGTTAAAAAAACAATTTCATATTCGCTCATCAAACTGCTCAGAGATCCTACCAGCCTGTCTTTTCATACTATCCTAGCTATGCCGACACAGTGCTTTCAGGTCTCAGAGTACCAACAAAATGGTACAAACACTGAAAGATAATGTAAGGCGAGAATATTAGCAAACATCGCCTTTATATCTATCTTTCGAAACATCACTACCAAGGACACCACAACACTCCTTGAGGATTCAGTCTCTGCCGCGGGTGTGAAGGGTCTAATCTATAATTTGTTCCCATGGTTTTTGCAGCACAAAGTGATAGAGAATATTATTAGTACTGCTGGTCAAACCTCTTTCAGGCACATTTATGTAATTGTGCGTCAGAGAATGGCTTCCATTCATTTATACATATTTAAGCAAAATAGAGATAAGTCTTATCTGATCTCGCTGCAATGCTTCATAAAAAGAACGAGACAAGGAAATCAGATCACAGTAGATTGTCCTTTTCTCGAAAAATAAATATTTCAATTATTTCATCTATTACTTCGATAAAGATAGCCTGCCCAAATGAGTATATTGGTTTTCATTTATTTACTCCAGAAAGGAATGCCAATTTATATCGTATGGGCATATCATCCCATGAGCGACAACCTTCAACATCATGGCAATGAATCCAAAGGGTTTTACAACGTCATCCTCATCCCGGTTATCACTCCAACGCCGATAATAATGATGGCACCATCCTCAGCTGCAGTCCAGCCAGTGCTACATTCCGACCTGATTATGCTCGATGGCAAGGGAAACTACAATGTTTCCTACTATTACAACGCAGCCACAGACAAATTGGAGTTTATGGTGCAAGTGAGAACCACAGGTTGGGTTGGTTTCGGTGTTGCTGAAGTGGCTCCAAATATGATGAACTATTATGATGTGGCAATAGGAGGGGTAACAGATAACGGAACAAGCTATCTGCAGGTACGTAATTATTAAATTGAGAATTTGTCTAGGAAAAAAAACTTTGTAGGGTCCTCTTTGAACAAATTTGACGAAAGGGTGATCGATGAAACATCATCCTTCTGCAATTACTGCAAAGGACCTATGACTTCTTTTCGCTTTATTCCTTCCAGGACTATCTTACAGTTGGCCGCATGCAACCCCGACTAGATACCCAACAAGATTGGACGCTCATGAACGCCAGTGAGAAGGACAATGTGACAACATTGAAATTTTATCGCATGCGGAACACCACTGACCTTCAAAATGATACGGCTATTCCGGTAAGACTCTCGTTGCCTTTTGTCATTTTTTTTACATGAGAAAAAATATCTTTACACAGATGGTTCAACTGAGACAAGGTGCTTCGTCCCACAAGAGAATTGGGAGAAACTTTAATTCGCCCTATCACACTAAACTCACAGCGTTTTAGACTTTCCTTCGTTTACTAGTCTTTCGTCACAGTCAGACAGTAATGAAGGTTGAGGTGATGAGCAAACATGGCTATTGAACATCATACTTTGTTTCCATTAGTAAGAAAACAATAACACTCCTACTGGGATCGTGTAGGACAGTGAAGCCCATTCGATACATTTTTCCCGATATTGGGCACCATTTAGGCATTTGTAAAGATTTTTCATTTATTCTTCACCATATTACCACCATTAAGCGTGGAAAGGCCAGGTAACATTACTCAAAGGAGATCTTATACCTATAACAACTATTCTCAGGCTAAAGTACTCCTTAGGCAAAAAATCATACTTTCAATGAAGTTTCTCGGGTAACTCAAAAATGCCTTCACTTGTTTTTATCTATTTTTCAAGAAAGGAATGCCAATTCATATCGTATGGGCATATCATCCCATGAGTGACGAATTGCAACCCCATGGCGTGGACTATAGCGGGGTTTACAATATTACACTTATTCCTGGTGTTACTCCCACGGCACCAATGACGATGACACCAACAGGTAAGTCTGACGTCATTCCTTGTAAACTAATTGTTAAAAATGAAAGCAAACTCTCGCGGCTGATTTACTGGGTGGGACTCATTCTCATTGTAAGGTCAGTTTTAACTGGCTCATTTCTTAAGACCCACAACTGCACATTTGGCATAATTTGAATATATCAACAAAGTTGAAATGGTAAATTGGCCACCGTTACGATTATAAAAGCTGACGTTTCGAGCGTTAGCCCTTCGTCGGAGTGAATAGAGAAATTGTGGGTTGTGTGTGCTTTTAAAGGCAGAAAATGGAGCTACGTTATTGGTGGGAACATGGCAACGAGC